TCCAGGCCCGCAGACCGGGTACCGCAAGTATGGCCACCGGGGCTAACCAATTTATGCATCCCGACTGCTCGGGTTTTTTGCGGCAGGGTGTGGGCGCGCCAACTTGGCCGATTAAATCAGGGTTCAACTGTTCAGAGGCAGGCCGCGCCTGTGTTGCTTGGCTGACTCGAGTGCCACTCTTCGCTGAGCGGCAAACACTCGATCAGAACAATTCAGTCAGGACAGATCAGGTTTTTGAACTCCTCCCTCCCACCTTAACAACTTTGTCCCCGCTCTCCGCCCCCACTGCTGTTGTGTCATCAAGTAATTAGCGTGCGCGCAGTCCTCCAGAGAAGGCTTGACACTTCTTAGATGCACGGCGAACTGCACTTGTTGGCAGAAACCGCTTCCGACCCGCGGAGGAACTCTCTGAAGCTGGTTAACACTGTGGACGGCCAGTCGGTCAGAAATCCCCCCCCCCTCACACTAGCCGTGGTCCTTCCAGCGCTGGCACTTTGAGGGCCGGGGGGATAAGATTGTTTGCCTCCGACGAAGGACGTGAAAGACCCGCCTCACAAGCGTCGCGTACCCCGCAAGCAGCCACGAGCCAGATAAACAAGCCGTCGAGCCAGTTCCGCCTACTCATTCCCTCTACACAAACGGAGGACGGTTCGCGCTTAAGAGGGCAGTCAGGGGATAGCCTGAACACAATGGATACAACACACCCTACCACCAACCAGATGCAGGGCTTTACACGGCCTAAGCAATGAGGAGCCGACGTTCTCAAACCTAATCAAGTGTGAAGTTACAACCTAAAGGATCTGCCAAAACAGAAGTAAGACATGTCTACGGCGGTTTACTAAGAATCCCGCTAGTTGGCTTTCCTCGATAAGAATTGACTTAAAACATAACATCCTGCGGTTCAGTCAGCGTTTATTGTATCGTAAGTGTGTCGTGCAATTACACAGTACAAAGAGGCTCTGCAAGGTGTTCCGCGGATAAGATACACCTTTGCAGCAAAGTAGTTGGGGGCAGAATGCAACGACAGAAGCACAAACGAAGACAATGAGGCGTACCAAGAGGACTAAGTCGGTGAACAAAATCGTAACCCTGTTTGAGCCTCCCGGCAGACATTGTGCTGTTTTTTTAAAATAAAATACCCTATAGTGAAAGTAATGGCTAGTAGAGGGTGGGGAAATGCACGCACGCCATCTATACAGGCGGGCACTGGGCGCTTTACTCAGTCCAACATCAGGCGTTCGGACGAAAAGGAGATGGGTAGGGAAAGGCGAAATAAAAAAGGGAATGCTTAACATTACATTCACACCAAAATGAAAGAAAAAAGTGAATAAATAAGGGAGTTGGGGGGCGTAAGAGGTGGGGGTGTTTTATACAGGCCTCGGACCCACGTAGCCCATGCCCTCAGGCATGAAATAGGCGCGTCCGGCAGCTTTGAGGCAGTATGAGCGGAAGTCTTCCATGGAGACAGCCATTGGGGTCCACCGTTCGATCAGCGACCGCAAGGGGACATACTCCATAGAACCTAGCGGTTGCAGCTGCTTCTCCATATTCCACAGAGACACCAGCGGTGCCGGTTTGTTGAGGTACTTCATACGAATCCAGAAGTTGTCCAACAGGCTATCCGGCCAATCAATGCTGGAATGCGGCAACTGCGAGGCGGGCGCCTTGTAGGCTGACGGCGAGGGGCCCCCCTCCCCAGCGCCGTTCATAATGGTAGCGGCATTGGGACCGTCGGCCTGCGAGTAGAGTTCAATGATCACATCAGCGCCGAAGGGAGGCCATTTGCCGTCGAAGAAGTTGAAAGCAAGTAGTAATGGCAGGATCGTTGAGTCATGTCCAGCAAAAAGCTGCAGTGGGGGCAGTCTAGAAAGGGGAGATGGGACTGTCAGGAGGGAAAAATATGCCTTGGAGTTGAGAAAGTAGGCGTACGACAGGTCTCTTTTAGGAGTCTTCATAAAGACTTCGAGATGCCTGTGACTTCTGGCCTCAATTGTTAGGAAAATTTCTTTGATAACGAAACGTTCATCCGCGGTTCATCCAACAGCGTTTGTGTGGAGGTGATGAGCGGCTGTCTATCCATTCCCCCCGGGGCTGTGCTAGACGGCGGCGTTTAAACCCTATTGCATGGTGGGCAGTTTTCGTCGTGTTTGTGACCTTTTAATAGTTAACCAGTCTACCAGGAAGGTGACCGAACACTGTAGCCTGAAGGTATCACGGCTGCATGGTCAGGAACCGCATATTAGCCAGAATCGCGTGCCGCGGGTGCCCTTCGCCGATGACCTTTCCACTTATCTGACGTCTGTTTCCCTCTTCGCCCCATACGGATAGCCCGCAGGTAGACAAACATCGTCTTGCTGGGCTTTCTGCCATGCTGTATGGCATAGCCTAAGATTGGGTCCTGTGACATTGCAACCCCTCAGGGAGGCAGAATTTCCATTGACTCTATACGTAAGGATCTCCCTCGATGGAGCGCGAGCTTCTCGACGTCTCCAGGAGATACGAATGCTTGGCAAATGCCGTCAGTGAAGTGCTCTAAGCCTGTATTTAGGGCCAAAGTCGGCCATCGCTTTTGTACATCCAATTTTGTTTATTTTGAAGGCTGCCTCTCGATCAGAACAAATAAGACTGGCCGGGTCTTTTTCAGACCCGTAAAAGGGCTTAAAAAGCTAGCGACAGCGTCGTATGCCAAATGTGAAACGATTTTTCATCTAGGCAGAATGTTATTACTGACAAATACAAGGGAGACTGGAATGGCCATTTCTGGCTTATTAGGAGTCGCCAGCCAGTCATGCCCAATCCCGAAGTGTGGGACATCTGGGGCTCGATCCCGCGAACTGTTAGTTAGAAGTTCAACGCCTCTAACCACTGAGCCACGGGCTCGTTGTCCTGTCGATTACGATCGGGAATGCACAATGGTGCAGGGGCGCTCAACGATCGTTTTTTTACGGAACTCACTTGTAAGTAATAACATTCTGCCTATATCATGCGCCGCCGTGCAGTTGCTGGTTGGGCTCGAGGGAGGGGGGAGACGGAACGAGTGAGTTCCGTAAAAAACGATCGGTGAGCGTCCCTCTACCAATTTTTCATCTGGCAGAGACCTTCTGGTTACTTATGACAGCGAGATGTCGAAATCGCTTCAGCTCACTGTAAATTTTGCTTGGTTATATAGAAAATTAGCATCTGGATGAGGGGTCATCCGACCTCCTCCTTCTCCCTACTGACAACAGAAGTTAATTTCAGCTACAGTGGAACTTCCATGTTCTAAGCCTACTTAACATAAAGTAGGATTCAAAAGAGGATTTCTCCCTTATTTACACTGAGGACGCCACCGCATAAAGCGCAGTCACTCTGCGTCGCTAGAAACCCCAAAACCGGTAGTAGCGGTGGGCTGGGAATGAGGATGTTTTCGTCTTCTTCTCGGGGTAAAAAAGCAATCGACGACCTTCATTCCATTAATAGGTTCAGACACCTGACAGGCGATGCTAAAAAATATGGCCGAACGCAGTAAAAGCCGATGGGCAGAATTAGGCAGCCGCCCGAACGGCAACAAAAACAAATCCGTTTTTTTTCTTTCGTGGATGGTAAAGTCGGAAAAAATCTCACTGAGTACTGGCTACGTACCAGTTGGAATTACTTGCCGACATCTCAACACGGCATGGCATGACTTCTCGGGCGCATCTACAGTAGGTGGGCTAACTCACTAAATGTCAATCGAAATTCCGAAGAGCGTTTTTGTTCCGAAAAGATTAATTAAATAGAGTTGTAAAACTAATCAGCCTGCACCATAAGTCTATAATAATTAAGTTACCTCAGGATTCCGCCTTTCGAATGAACTTACTTCTGGCTGCATGCAAAAACTATACTCTGTAAAAAATGACTAGTCAAGTAGCATGCATTCTTCTCATTGAGTTTCGATGCTCTTAAATATTCGATTATATTTTATGGAAAACATGCATAAAAGTATTCATTCTTTTGCTCATTAGGTAGAAATTTACGTCTTCTTCTAATTTTATGCTCGAAGAAAGGGTATAATTCGGTTTTCAAAGACTTCCAATTCCCGAATAATTTTGAACCCCGACCTGCCGTTACACCATTTTTTGCAGAGTATAGTTTTTGCATGCAACCAGAAGGAAATTCGTTCGAAAGCCGGCACCTTGAGGTAGCTGAATAATTATATAATTATGCTGCATGGTGGTTAGTTTTTCAACCCTACTTAATTAATCTTTTCGGAACGAAAACGCACTTCGGAATTTCGATTGACATTTAGTGAGTTAGTCCACCTACTGTAAGTACCTTAGGAAATGAAGAACGATCCGCAACCGGGCCTGAAAACACTGTAACAGACGGCGATCGCTACTTCGGGTACGGCATTGCTCTACTTCATATCAGTGACAGACCATTAGTTTTCCAGGCTTCACCTTAAAGGCGCCCTATTAAATACTGACAGTGAGGAAGTGGAAGGTAATAAGGTGAGGTATGGATATATAGAGCCGTCTCCCCCAAGCACCTTGGCACAATATCACCTCTAATTTGTGCGGAACAACTGCTCAATGCTCACACACTCATTAATAGTATAATCTCTGAACTGCAAATCGTGTCACCCTGGCACACTTTCGCGGTCAACTGATAAAGGTGAGATTGACTCGGATCAGTTAGCTCCGTCTCTTAAAGTATTCCGGTTATCAAACCGAACTTGGTAATTTCGTCTGTGGTTGCTGGACAAATTCAGAAACTCACAGACGGGCCGAAATCTGCGAGCAACCAGGGGAAGTTCGCTCTAAGCGACACTATTCAATAGAATGCTCTGCCGAATGACCCGTCAACACTATCCTCAGTATGCTCGCATAGCTCATGGGATGGGCGGCGGCCAATTGGTCCAAACCTGGTAAACCGCGAGTTTTGCATGGCTCAACATATTCCCGCGCTTAAACACCAATTCCTTGTTTTGTCGCTTTTTAATTTCCTCAGAAATTATCTACGAAGTTGGAGTAGATCAGTTTATTCAAAGTCTATAGACTCAGACCGAGAATTTTATAAATGAATATTTGGGCCAAAGTCCATCAGCCACAGCGGGTAACCGCGTAATATTCATTAACTGCCGACATAGGGTTCAACTTCGTAGATAATTTCTGAGGAAATTAAAAAGCGACAATTTCTAAATTGGAGTATCTACCACAAAACACATGGTGCATGCTGGGGGACCCACTGACAAGCCGAACCCCTCGCAGCTGCACCATGCAGCGGCAAAACATCGGCGAAACACCTGTGCATGGGCTTTTGGCGAGTACCTGTGCTGTTAGTATAGTATCACCTTACCCTAAAATTCCTTGTTTACCTAATATTTGCACGCTGTTGGAACAGCCCAACATTCGTGGCCGTAGGCAGATAGGGCATCTTGTTGTGATCGAGAAATCTCCACGGCTTTACAGGTACATGGCGGGCTAGAAACAATTCTCAGGGCAGTATTGACTCGGTGATATCCCTGTTCCTAATTAAGCAACAATCCGGATCAAGAGATTTCAAACTGCAAACTCATCAAAATGAGAGTCATTAACAACGACGGGCCTGTCCTGCCGGCCAGCGATGTAACTCGAAGACGACATTTTGCGGGGCTGCTGTGCATGTGAGCTGAACTGGTGGCATCGTATAGCCGCAACCCTGCGTTCTGTGGGTCTTCGTGCCCAGCAGCGCTTTCAGTGTAGTCCAGTCCTGACTTCTGAGTGAATGCTCGATGCCCTCAAGCGGAATAGAGTTGGTGTACTTGAACAGGACAGGCAAGCGCCTGACCGCATAATGACAGGGTAGGAGAGGTTTCTGAGGGCACGGACGCACGCACAGGTGAAGAGTAGTTTCTCATTAATCAGAGTCAAATTTTTTGTCGGTACACAGCCCCGGCTGTACTATCCGCGTCATGAAGACTTAAGGAGGAAGGCAATGGAAGGCAACGACACGGCCAGGACTGCGACCGGTCGTCGGCTACTGGTAATCGTAGTGAAATGCATTTATGCGCCTTAGCATCGATATTTGGTCAGGACAGTTACAGTAAATGACCCAACTCATGAAATGTAGAGATCAGTATTTGAGTTGATAGAACGGCATATATTTTGTGTGATCATTCGTGTTTTTAGTTACAGTAGATGACCTAACAGTCAACAAACTACCAGGCCGAAGTCGGCCAAGTCATAATAGCAGCAGAGCTTGTTTGCTTCGGGAAACTAATAGGTCGATGTGCGCCCATTCCTAACTGAATAAATACCCCATCTGAAGCAACGGAGAATGACACATGGCGAGGTACTGATGAACTTCGGTTCGATGAAGTTCCTATGACCCATCTGGTAGACCCCAGTGGTGGACCAACTGTGCCCGGTGTGTCTGTGCGCATGTTTGTGTTTCTGGTCCAAACTGCCCGCCAGGGTTATGCTTGGCTGATAAATCTACCCGCGTTTTCCGTCGTGCCTCCTCGCTGCTATATACAGTAGATGACCTAACTCATGAAATGTCGAGATCGCTATTTGAGTTGGTGTAACGGCACATATTTTGTGTGGTTATTCTTGTTTTTAGAATTGACTGGAATCCCAAAAAGCTTTTTTCTAAAGCAGAGGTCCTGTTAGTTAAGTTTTATTGAGGGGAAATGGACCAAAATTAAGCAAATTTTGACGTCCTCGGATATCCACTTAATTTACTATTCTAATAAGTATCCCCTATTAAAATCTCTTATTTGCACGCGTTGAGTTATAAAGAAACTTTCATATAACAAATAAAAATATCAAAGGAGACCACTCTGGAAATGGAAATACTGATTTTTAGTTCATGAAAATCAGATCAAGTCACGTATGTCAAAACACATTATGCTGATCAACAAAGAAGCAATCTGCTCTTTGTAAATTCTATTTAGAAAAACTGTAACGTTTTATATCGTTAAACGCAGTAATAGGCTTGTTAGACAGTATTTTACTACACCGGAAACTGGTAGGTGTAAACACGTATATATGGATTGCGCGCTACATGCCGCCACTTTTCTTTACCACGCCGTGCAGCAAAGATATCGAAACAGTTCTTATCGGAAGTTGAATTTGAATGGATACGAAAATTGGCAGTCGAAGGGCTGCCGCGTAAATCGTTAGCTGGTATTTTCAATATTAGTCAGATCATTCTCTGGAGAATTATAAATAATAAAACAGTGCCCAGAACTAAGCAAGGTGGGCCAAAACGGTCCAGAAGCAAGCAAGACGACGAGTCCATTCGTCGGATACTGAAAAAGTATCATTATATGCCCCTTAAGGCTATTTACAGAGAACACCTGTCAATGTTTCTTTGTGCATAATTAGAAAGAGAATGAAAGAGTTCGGTCTCCATCAGCAAAACGCCATGACAAAGCCATTTTAAATAGAAAACTTATAAGAAAACGTTTTTTTGTTTTTTTTGCACTAATCAAAAGAAATTTGGACAACGCAAGAAAACATCTTCCTATGGAGCAAAAGTTGGAATTTTTGCTTAATAATTACATAGACCAAACCCCCTTAGACAACTTGTTAGTCTCCATGCCCTCTCGCCTTACAGCGACTTTGAAAGCTAAATGGAAATCAACAAAGTACTGATGCGTTGTATTTGTTACTATTTTCCATCATTTTGTTGTTTTATGATGGTCCCCTTCTCTGCTGGCAGTTATATGAGGCGTTGAATAGTTGACATGTCATAAACCCGTTTTTTTGATTTGGTGGTTTTTCGTAAAATAAATTGTTTCTTAGTCAATAAATAGTACTTTATAAATCAAACTGTGCCTTATTTTGAAGCTCGGTCGTATCTTTGCCGCAGTACAACTTTCGTGGATGCGGGGTGGGCGTTTCATGTGCTACAGTGATTTCTGTCCACAGTGCGTGACCTCTCATCAGATAGGCCACGAACTGTACTTCCAGTTCAGAGCTCAGCTTCCCTGGGATCCTGAAAATCATGACAGCAAAGACCTTTGTGGTAATGTTGATATGGGCAAGGCCGAGGCAGTTCTCGCACGGACGAACCCCCGTGATCAGGTACAGCTTAATTTGCCCACAGACTTCTAAGCACTTCGTTGTGTCGGATCGCCAGCCAACGTAGACATGTCACCGAAGGTGTAACCCTCACCATGGCCCTCTATTTATTGCATCAGCGACATCTTCTGGGGAGAGGGATTAATCGTAAGGAAGGCATACGACAGGTTCCAACCACAGGGCTGCAAAGACCAAACTTTTGAGACAGAAAACTGACATAGTCGCATCTCCGCCTTGTTTTCGTCATAAGGATCATGGCTAATCTCGTTGCCTTCAAATAAAACTTGAAGGAAATCGTTAGTTAGCAAGGTACCGCTCGTATACACATGAGGACATCGAAATAAACAATCATAGTAGATTGAAGACATAATAAACTTACTCAGAGTGATCGCGAATTTTCGTGAGAATCAAGTGAAGCACTGGTCCGATAGTGATGTCAAGGTTCGATACCCAGTCCCTTAAAAAATGATAAAAGACTTTAGAGTAGATGGTCAGGTGAGAAAATGAAAACCCAGTCTAAAATGTTGGACAACAATCAACTTCGTTTGTGGTTTACTGAAACAGCGTCCAGCTAGTCCCCACCAGACTCGTAGATGTCGTGTTAAGTGGGATTAATCATTATGTTCCGAGAAAAGGACGAAATGAGGGATGTGTGCGAATGCATTTCGCCGTTAACGTCGCTCATCAGTACACCCAAAAATACATCCCAAAGGTCCAGTGGAGCAGAAGCACAACGTGAAACTTTGTCGGTGCGGTGACTTAGCTGTATTCCTCCTCCTCCTCCTCCTCCAACCACATAGCGAGTTGAATGGATACAGCGCTTACAAAGCTCTGCAGAAGTTTGCATAGAATCCGTCTGCTGCGGTTCCCGCATCAAAGAAATCACTGGATGAACTGTTCAGTGTACGAAGAAGCAAGTAAAATATTCCAACATCAAGAAATAGACGAAGGGCCAACTTTCTGCCTCCCACGGAATGATTAAGCTTGTTTGCGCGACTTAAACACGAAAATGTCCAAAGGGAATGAGCTCCTAGTGCATTGCCGAAGATTTTCACGGAGGGACATATGGCCAAATAGGCCCAGGCGATGACTGAATGCCCCAGCGCAGAGCGGGCAGTTAAGGCAGGTGCGTCGAGTGTATGTCGGGACCCCAGGCACTGGTTCGCCCGTCTCAGAGCAAAGTGACCGACAAAGCCGATGCGTGACCCAAGTGCATTGTATCAGGTTACCTGCATTTTCTGCTTATACGACTCCGGTATCTTAACGAGTTCGGACTGGCACGTGAATGCGACCCCTACAATTCATACGGAGTCGGGGGCCTCGGGAGGTTAATGGACAGTCACTGCAAAGTTGAGTGCCTTTCGTAGAATGATCTGACAATACATTTCTCACGGTCGGTCAGTAGGAATTTAGGTTTCGTTAAAGAAAACCCACTTGTACGAAAATAACGTGCAATTACGAAGAATTCCAGGTGCCCGTTAGCCATACGTGTGGTTAAATTTCCGTGGGTTTTCTAAACCTTCATACGAAGCAGGAAAAATGGGCCAGATGAGATACCAGATCTTATTCCCACACCAACAGGAGAAATAAGAGGGTATATGTGCATAGCACGCCTAAAAAGCTGGTTTGAAACCTTGAAGACGCGAAAACTCGAGCCGCCACTGAAAGGACACATGTCAACTTTCCTACAGTAAAGTAATCCGCATTTTCAGGTAGTAGTCCTCAGACGCCAGTGTCTGCGGGAAGACTATAGGAGGTCAAGTCTTATAAATTCCCTACGGAAGGAAATATCTGACCTTATAAAGCCATCGAAACCCATGAGGAAGCACGTACAGTCAGTAGATGGCGTACATCTCATGAAAAACTAGCGGAAATTCTAAAATTTAACTCCAGTTGGTGGGATTGCAATATTGATTATCGAGTAGTATAATCCAAAGATATTTCAGTCACACCACGACATTGGTTTTTAAATGCACGTTGTTCTTGTCTCCTGTAAAATCACACTCGTTAAAAGTACTACCAAAGTGGCGCGGATTTCTTCTATCGATTTTTGCTGCTATCATAGATTCAAACATTTTAAATAAGACATGCACAAAAATATTCTCTCTTCTATTCATTTGGTAGCAAAATGCATTTTAAAATGCTATACTCGAGGAAAGGGTAGCTTTCCGTTTTAAAAATGACTGCAATTATGGGACTTTTCAAGACCGTGGGATGCCCATTCGAATGACCGTTTGTTAGTGCTCCTTATGAAATATACAAGGTGATCCATATCTACTGCGAAATTTAACGCTCCCTATATGACGCCTTTCCTTACATGGAAAGTATGCAGGGTATAACTCGGAAAACCTAAGCAGGATTGCAACGACGGGTCGGGTTCAAAAGTATTAGGAAAATAGAGGAGCTAGAAATACCTTTTTTCAAAAATAAAATTTACTATTAGCGAGCATAAGGATGAGTTCTTATACGTTCTCTTTAAAACGTGTCTTAATTTAAAGGACCATCGAGAATCAGTGGAGAAAGCATAGTACTTAAGTGGTCATTGCTGTTGCGTATGGTTTTGGCATGCAGCCGGAAATAAGAACATTCCAAAGCCAGCATCCAGGCTTGTCTAAAATATTTTGGGATAATGCTGCACTATAATCAATATTATAACCATAGTTAAGTAATCCGCCGATAGAAAACATGCCTCGGAATTTCAGCCAACATTTCATGAGATACGCCACCTACCACCATGCTAGAGGCGCTGTTCTTTCGTGAGTGAAGTAGGCAGATGTGGATTGAAAGTCTTGGCGGCAAGTCACAACACAGCCGTCAAACACGAGAGTCGGATTACGGGGGAGGGGTTATTGAGGGCAGCATTAAATCCTCTCCCTCCTTCCAAAGCTGTCACGTTCCAGGGTGAAGACGACTGAACATGGGCCTGGGGACAGTGGCTTACGAAACAGTCGCCCAACCTGCCCGTACCACACGCACGTGTGTTAGTCTCTCATTCAGATGCCACGGCGGCGGGAGAAGCTATGGTGTCACATCAATACGCCATCGCGACTTGCTCTCGGATGGAAGCGCAGTCAGCCCAGAAGTCGGTCACGACCTTCAAAGAGCCTTGGTGGCTGAAAATCGCGCCATCTTGATTTCAGTGAGGAGGGGTCGAACAAGTTCGACCAAATCGCCCCCCCCCCCTCTCCTACCAGACGGAATCACCCAGACTGGTGGGACCGGCATCGGGGCATAAGGTTTCTGCTCTTGCTTGTTACGCACGTATTTGGCTCTTACCAAGACAATGTACTAGAAACCACCAGATGAGTTCAAAAACAGGCCGACTCACCTCTGCTTTCCCAGCAATTCACAGAGCAGTTCCGTAGCGGAGAGGATGTCTATCTCCTCCTCCAGGGGCTTCAGTGACTCTGGGTACGTGAACTTGTTGTGCTAAAGGGCAGACATTAAGAGGTCACGCACCAGTCCTCGGTGTTTAACTGCACCGAAAGTGGCAAACCTACAGCAGGCGGGCTAACTCATGAACTGTCAACCGAAATTCCCAAATACGTTTTCGTTTCGAAAATAATAATTAAGTAGGGTTGTGAAACTAATCCGCCTGCAGCATAAGTCTATAATAATTCAGTTACCTCCGGATGCCGGCTTCCGAACGAACTTCCTTCCGGCTGCATGCAAAAACTACACTCTCTAAAAAATGACTACTTAAGTAGCATGCATTTTTTCATTTATTTTCGACGCCTCTAAAATTCCAATTATATTTCATGGAAAACATGCATAAAAATATTCATTCTTTTGCTCGTTCGGTAGAAAAGTAAGTCTTCTTTCAATTTTATACTCGAAGGAAGGACATAATTCGGTTTTAAAACAGTTTCTAATTGTGAAACTTTTTAATACCGTGAAATGGTCGTTCATAAAGCATCGTCTCTGCATTTACCAATGTGGCTTGCAAAGTTAACAATATGGCTCAAATCCATTGCTAAATCTTATGAACCCCATATGGTCTCCTCTTAATACCGTAGAGAAATGTATGGTTCTCCGTATGCGGAAAATACATGACTTGTAGTTTGGAAACCCTGAATGCAAGTGTGACGGCAGAGCGGGTTCATAATTATTCGGGAATTGGGAAAGTTTTTGAAAACCGAATAATACCTTTCCTTCGAGTATAAAATTGAAAGACGTAATTTTCTACGGAATGAGCAAAAGAATGAATATCCTTGTGCATGATTTCCATGAAATATAATTGGACTCTTAGAGGCAGAGAAAATCAAAAAAGGCATGTCACTTAAGTAGTTATTTTTTACAGAGTATAGTTTTCGCATGCAGCCGGAAGGAAGTTTTTTCGAAAGCCAGCATCCTGAGGTAGCTGAATTATTATAGAATTATACTGCAAACTGACTAGTTTTACAACGCTACTTAATTAATCTTTTCAAAAAGAAAACGCATTTCGGAATTTCCGTTGACATTTCATGAGTTGGCCCACCTACTGTATTTGATGTGCATAAATGTGAAGAACTCAGAATGGGTGCAAATACACACAAACTGTTTACAAATGGATGAACAGAAATCTCTTTGTGATTCAGCAAACTGATTTGCTAAGGAAAATGTTAATATCGGTAAGTACCGGGCCAAGGTAGCACTGTCGACTGAGACGGGGATGACGTGTGAGGAATAAATACGCAGACGACTAACGGACGATTGCTTTGACAGCAAGCAAGTCACCAGATTCTCGCGAGCACAGCACATACCGTTCAAAAAGTCAAAGTAGAAGACAGTTTGCTCATAGTGTCCTCTTCTTCATAGACTTAGGCTGGTACGAATGGGTGTCAGGAAATGCGACTCTCCGCCACCTCAAAAGGTATCAGAAGCCGTAAAGTTAGCACAGGTTCTCTAAGGAATCCTGCCGCGATTGCAATAAGGACGGTGGGAAATAAGCGATGAAGAGGGCCGCATGACGACACTGGACTATCACAACACAAAGACTGTGTGCACTTTGCAACTGTTTACGCGTTGCAGTCCTTATAGGGTTTAAATGTCGAGAAAGTTTCACGAAAGTACAACTCTAATTGAACTTCATACTACCTGCATGCGCCATCAAACACAAGGGTCATGAAGCGGACAGCCATGTTGAAAACATTGTCCGGCAAGCGGCATACCTGGTACCGGTGAAATTTCGCCTAAACTTCGCTTCCCGACACTAAGTCACTTGAAGATAATCGAAGTGAGCGACAACCTAATAGTCCTCACAGCAGACATATCTCATAATTCATAATCATCTAGATCACAGTCTTTAACAGCCTATAAAACAGCATAAATCATGCACCCACAGCCTCTATAAAAGGTGATGTTCACAACCTAGTCGGCGCACTTCTGTCTCGGGAGTCTGTCTGTGTGATATTCCTCAAATTAGCCATACAAAAAATCAGTCTGTGACACCGTTACGTTGCAATCGAAGAACTTCGTTACTTTACTACGTGCGTGAAGAAGTAGCCTTGCATGGGCAGAATGGTTTAGCTACTTAAAGTGTATTCAGTGTCAAAAACTTCTAAAGCTCTGTGCACACTGCAAAGATTCTAGAAAGACACAAAGTTGACTAACTGGCTGGAAATCAATCGCTGGACCGCGTCTGCCGAACCGCCACTAAGCACGAAGCTAAAAACCTAAAAAGTCCACCAACCCAGGTAAGTGTCCTTGGTACCAAAGGCACTGGTGAAAAATACCTGCTTTTAAGCTTTTTCCCACATGTTGCGATATTCATAAAGGTTGCACCCCTGCGCTCTAAGCATCTAATCTCTAAAAATTCTGCAACGGTTTGCCTTGTTCCACATCCTTAACGCTTCGAAAGTGCCTGACATGAATTTGACCCAACTAAACCTTCGTGACGGGACGCACGTCAACGCAGATAATACAATATAATATACAAATATAATCAAGAAGCATGCAGACTTGAGACCGTACATTGGGTCAGGAATTAAGCTAAAGCAAAATACCCTTGGTTTAAAATATTGCTATTGCAAGGAGACCGTTTTGTATAGAATGACTGCAGGTTCTACCCAAGTCCGCCTGCAACCAACGGCTGGAGCCACATCTGGGAATACACGTTTCTGTTAGTAATTTTTCACACGTGCGATTGTTATAGGCCACGCTTCATGTGCATTAGTACCGTAACTGTGGTGTGTTTAAGGATTCCTGATAACGCCTCAGAGGTCGCCACATAAGGCATAAATGGAGTTGAGGCGCTGACATAGTCTGAGGTGATACCTTTGACCCAACTATAAAAGGAAAGGCCGGCTGCCCTTTCTGGAAAGTTGGCTCGGTCGTGCCTCGTTGAGCAGAGAACTACAACTCTCAACCCAAATAATGCCTGCTTCGTCACTGGCATGCGCGGATCACAGTTTGGCCAAAGACAACACGGACTAATACGTGTTATGGCAGGTATAATGTTCCCGAAAACGCAGACAGATTGGGGGTCGAAAACGTCATCATTGATTAAAAATATGCTATTCTCAATGACAAAAGCGTGAAATTTATTCTGCCTCCTTTTTTACCCTCCATTATATGGCTCACAGTCGGACGCTCGTCCGCTACAAAACAAGAGGAAGGAACTACTGAAAAATCTTTGTCGGATGCGAAGATTACTATATTATTTACTAGCACAATAAGCTTATTTTGTTTTGTGTGGCCACCGCATAAATGCCAGGCGGATTAACAACAAACTCATCGGGCTTATGGCTGCTGCTAACTGAGATGGTAGGGATATGTAGAACAAACTCGCTCCCAGTAATGTCTGTAGGATACCTTCAGTTTGTGGGGCGGTAATTCCGCCTTCTCAAAATAGCCAGGTGAGTGGAAATACCGAAGGCAAGCGAACAATGTAAAAAAACACCTCAAAGCGTTTAACTAACCTTGCGCGCTATGTAATCGTCACGAACATAATAGACCTGGCAGTCATCTGTCGGTCTGTCCTTACTTTTTTCGAGTTCATCCACAAGCCTGTCAAGTTCTAGAAATTAAAAAGACTGCTAGAGAAGAAAACGATTTAAAATACGCACTTAACACCCTCTTGAGTTCAGATTTTAGGCTGGTTATGCGGGAGTTGTTGCGTAGCTCCTCGGTGCCCTGTAGGAAAGCCCGATCCATGACGCCGCAGTTCTTTGGATTCGGAAACAGAAACTCGGTTTCGAAAGGTATGGATGCTATTGTAACTGGTCCTTTAAGGGAAAAAGAGCGGAAGAGCGAAGCCTTCATTAGCAGTTTTAAAGAAGTTGAAACACATGTCCTTAACAACCGGACCGTTAAATGGACAGCCAAACAAATGGCAAAAGTGCAGAGATGAAACTGGTGGGGGAGATCATACTGATAAAAGAGATGGTAGGAAAGGGGGTCGGTCCGTAATTTAAATGATTACCCGGGACTTGACCGCCAGTTAGTCCAGCGACCATGCAACGCATTGACTTGATATTGCGGCCAACCCGAGTAGACCTACACCTGAGGTCACGGGCAACAGTGAAGAGAAAAGGCGATGTAACCTACTGGAACTCTGATAATTTAGGTGGGTCGGAGATAAGGAGACCACTTTGGGCATAATCCTTTCTCAGGCGTGCACCTATATTGTAGATGTCCGCCTGTCCGATGGATGTCAGCATGCCAATGGCTTCACCACCCTACAAAGGTGAATTAAATGCAATGGAAGGATGATTACTGGAAGATGGAACGGTTTATAAATCAGGTCCATTGTGTCCTCATCAACAACTTGCTGAGTATCAAGATCAAGATGGACGAACGGAATCATCGTTTTGGGTACATCAGTCGTCGTCGACTTTGGCCATTCTGCCTACCGAAAAAGCGGTAAGATGCAAATGCTTACGTCGCAAACAGATGACTTGACATAATGTAGAGGAGTTCGCGCACCATGTCGAAAGTAGACTTGCACCTGCACAAGCTTCAAATTGACTCCACTACTACAGAAAGAGTCTCAACAACCATAGTTTAGAAAACTCACCCAAGCCGGACAAACTTGCTCCTGAAATTTTTTTTAAAAAAAAGTGCTAAATTAGATGGGCGCTTTTAAATGTCGGTAGGAGACAATGAAAACGTACGGATTCTAAAACAACTAAAAGTAAGCTAAAACATGGCAACCAAAAACTGATGAATAGGCAGGCGATGCGTCAACAATGTGTAGCGTTCAACTACATATTTTCCCTGATAGCATCTAGTCGTCCAGGGCTAGACACTTGCTGGCCCGTCTGACTTGCGGGCTAGTGCAGGGCTAGTAACCTGACTGGCTCGATCTCTGCGAGGAAAGGAGCTTTTTCTGCTACACCCCCTCCTCGATGCTCACCGGAGTGCATTTCGCACGTCACGCCTGGGGGGGTCCCTTTGCGCATACGCACGCATGCAGGGTGCATGCACGCACTTTGTTGGGAATTTAGGCCCCTGTCTGGCGACTTAAATAGCCTCAGGCTACAATGCCCTCAACTCGCCCGAGAAGGCGCGTTAACCTACTGTCCCCGGGTGGCAGTGTCCGCTATGATTGCTGAAGAAATCCAGCCAATCGCAACACTAGCCCGCGACCAGGCTAGCCCTGGTAGAGTAGAATGCTATCAGGGCGGTTGACTACATGGGTCTGACACGCGTCTGGACTTCGCAGGCCACGCACACTTGACTGGACTTTCAAGCAAAAGTTACTCCTATACTTGATATCAAACCTATCCTCTCGTCTTTTCACCCCGGCGTCTGAGTTGGCAAAGGTTTGGAAAAGTTGCTCAGCTCCCTAATCATATCCACCAAATAAAAATCCAGTTTAGTGGAAGGAATGTACCGTAGGTGGGTGAGTAGAATGCTATCAGGGTTATTAGGCCTTGTAATTTATGGAAAAGTGTTCTCGATGGCAGCCACGTAACAGTGTTAGGGTGGCACCACCGTGCGTCAATGCGATGCACCCCCGGGAAGATGGCTCTGGTTTTTCACGAGGCAAGCCCATAGGAAGCGGCTGGAAGGGGAATACCAACAAAAGACAGAAGATATTGACGTCCTTCCTAAAATCGCCTTATTGTCCGATGCAGAACCCAAGCAATTGGGAAAACGCTAGAGGGCAGGTAAGACCGTTCCCATGATCCAGTCATTTGTGATAACCGTCAACAGCGTCATAAGATAAGAGAGCCCTCGAAAGTTACCTAGTCTTACGTGATCCATTTACATCATACGAACCACTAACAATAGTATGTAATGTTTCAAACGCCCCTAAATAATTAGTAGCGGTTCGGCAACAATGGTCTGATGTAGGGCTTAAACCCTAGATCAGACAGGTAAAAAGGAAGGCTTTTTCTAAGACGCGGTGAAAAAAAGAACAAGCAACAACAATGCAACAAGGTGGTAAGGACGGAAAACCAAATTACTGCATGCAACAATTAAAGCATTAAAGGTACAAAAGGCGCTCGCATAAAGCTGGCGGCCCGAAATGCATAAATAATGATGAAACCTGGCATTACATGCTGTCCCGCTTCAATAACAAATAAAAGGAAACGGCCAAAGCAACAACGGCTAACAAACGCCGACGCCCGCGGACACACATTATATAGGCGGATAGAAATTGCGTCAAAAAGCCGCAGCCAATCGGGCCATGAGGACAGTAAGGGTGCTTGTGTTTGGCATTGAAGATTCATGGTTCAAAATGACCTTGGAGATTAATGTTCATACCCGAGGAATTTGGTAAACGAGACTGAGGCCGGTATAAGACCGGAACCATAGATTCATTTATTCGAGTTACTGACTACCTACCCAAAAACAATTCTCAGAGGTATGAAAATAAACAGCAGTAGATATGAATACAATGGACGCGGCAATTAAGGGGAGGGGTTTTAGTCTCCGTGTAAAATCCCCTGAACTGTACACAGTTGTTCAAATGAAGTGACATTTTTGGAGTGCGAATCCAGGATGAAGGTGGTGAGACCGCGTGCTGGCGAAAACAACCGGTGTTCTGTCCTCAAATTCCCGCCGACCCACATTCCCACCGACCTACCTTCCCGCCGTTACCGCAGTTATTGTACCTTATTTCCCTTTTCACGCCGGCACTTTCCACAGTCCCACCCCGCAGTTTTTGACGGCGCTGCACTTCCCAGCGGTTATCTAACTGAGATGTTGGTGTCACCTCCTTGTCTAGACGGATCGTCCCACTTGCTCTAAATGTCATCCTCCATTTGTGTCCTTTAACGTTTTCCATTGGGTTTGCCTCACCATTCTCAGTAGATATATATATATATATATATTGTTGATTAAAACAAAAATGCGCGTTCCCGGACATAAATGAGAAGGTAAGGCGATCTCAGGAACCATGATTTTATTGGCCTGACGTTTGAATGCAAGCAAGCTTTCATCACCGGAGGAGGGTTGCGCACGGCACGGGTCTTAGTTCGTGCTGGCGCGCCACTGACTTCCAGCGCGCTGCATGGCAACGTTTGGCACCTGTTGTCCTGGTAACATCTCCTCTTCCTTATCCTTTGTTAGGGGTGTGGAGGGGGACGGCGTCGAGATGACCACGACCATTGCTCTTGTTTGCATTGTCCGTTGTCCGCCCCCCACGTATCTCGCCTTCCTGCCCCGTTCACACCTGCCCGTAACCGCGTCGATGGTGGTTGTCCTGTCGGTGTTGTCGTCGGGCTGTGGGGTCCGGTCACTGTCGCCCGTTCTCACCGAGGGCTCGTGTCTGTCTGCGTTCAGACCCAGAAGACAGTCTCCTGGGTTTGCGTTCGCCTCCGGTTGTCCCCTGTTTTCGTTTGTTTCTGATGTCTGTCTACGTTCGTCCGTGTTCCCGCTTGGTCTGTGTTTGACTACTGCTGTCTCTGGCTTGACGCCTCGTTGGTAGCCTTGCTTATCGAACTTGATCCATAGGATTTGGTAGGCAGCCGGCAAAGTTACGCAGCGTTAATCGTCAGACGACGGGTTGGTGTCACCAATTCGAAAATTCACGAGTACAACTCGATTTTTTCGATAAACCTCCTCTTTTTTCATTATACTCTCTAGGAAAGCATACCACCTCCGCTATACTCACGTATATATGCGGAATTATGGGTTTCGAGCTTTGAGTGACATTATATCAGACGTTCACCGTCGTCTTTGCAGATATGATGCAACAATATCCGACCTCTGAAGCCATTGTATCTCAACATTGTCTGAAAATGTGTTCCGGAACGTGCTACAACGAATAATTACCACCGCTTTAGACGCCAGATTGAAAAAGCGAGCCGATCTTCGAGTGTAACTGCAGTCTCTTCTTCGCTCTGTCAACGAAACCAGCAGGTCGACAAGAGTTGTGAATCTTTCTAAACGGAGTCTAGCATCCACGGAATTTAGCCTGCTATCTAAGGGATCAAAATTCAGCCAAACAGACGCTGCACCCACAAACTTCCTAGCTAACCTTGAATCTATTTTACTGACCTCGGCTGTGCCTGAAGACATGCGCGCGGACATACGAAGCTGTGCTACTGGTCCACTTCGACAAAAGAAGCACCACTAAGCCTTGCCTATCGATGAAGAAAAGGGCTTACAGTCTCTCAAGACACACAACAGTGTAGTGATTGTGTCCGCTGACAAAGGTGGCGCGACCGTCATAATGGAAAAGAGTGATTACATTAACAAGGCGAACCAAGTCTTTGACGACAGGGAAGCTTACGCATCACTTGCGAAGGACCCGACTAAAAAGCAAGCTACGGCTGTAAAAAAAGAAAGTAAATGAGCTCACTTGACTGAAATTCATAACCCCCAATGACTTCAGACGTTTGATTTTCAACGACCCCCGAATAGCCCATGCATATGGCCTCCAAAAGGTACACAAAGATGGTGCGCCATTGAGGATCATAGGACCGCTTATTGGATCGCCTACCTACAACCTCGTTAAATGGTTATACAGGCACCTGAAACACTTCACCAATGGATCACAATATAGCATCAAAAACTCTCATACATTCCTCCAGAATATCCAAGGCCTCAACGAAAGTCCTGATAATTGTATTCTATCGTTTGATGTGGTTGTTCTGTTTTCGTCAAAACCACATGACCTGGCGATTGAGAGCGTAACCCGACGCCTGCTAGATAATCCAGCCAGCATTCCGATACAACACGTTTCAGAAATGCTTAAACTCTAACTCAATAACTACTGCCAATTCGATGAAAAGTTTTATCAACAGATTAGGGGTATACCAGTGGGATCGCCAATATCAGGTCTACTAGCTGAACTGGTACTACAACAACTAGAAGAGGAAGTTATGCGAACCTTTAAACCAAAAATATGGCTCCTATACATTGATGATACGTTTGTTATCATGAAGACCTGCGAAGTTGAACAATTGCACCTGAGTCTCACCAGCGTCTTCCCAGCTATCCAGTTTACTCGCGAAGAGGCGACAGGAAGTATTCTCCCGTTTTTAGACGTTAGTATCCGAACGCTCAGTGATGGCGGCCTTGCAACGGGCGTTTACCGAAAAGACTCCAGTGCTGACGTCATTCTTAATAATGAAAGCAACCATCCTGTGGCCCATAAAAGGAACTGTGTCCGAATACTTTTCCTTCGGGCCTATTGTTACTGCAGCAGCGATGATCTACTTAAGAAAGAACTCGCTTTCCTGTATCGGTTATTCCGGCTCAACGGATACCCGGTCAGTTTTGTGAAAAATTCTCTTAGCTATCAGAGGCAACGACAAGGCGTTGGTTCTAATGCGTGATTAGAACTACGGAAGTTGTACTCTCTATCCTACATGTAGGGCAGTTCCGATGCGATCGCTCGACAAATAAACCGGTTTGGCATCTTCATTGTCCACAAGTCCGGCGTCCTCCCTGTTCGCTGCATTGTCCCGAGTGAATGATTCTATATCCAAAGAGCGGCAAATCAATGTCATCTACCGAGATCTGTGTGCGAACTGCCCCTGCGACTATGTTGGTCATACAGGCCGACGACTTGGGACGCGTATAAACGAACATAAACTAGTCATCCGCCAACGTGACCCTTTGTCACTCGTGTTTCCGCACGGCCTTTAATGCGACCATCGCTTCATTTAGGAACAAGCTGAAATTGTTGCCAGGGCAAACACCAAACAGGCCCGAGAATTCCCCGAAGCCTGGCACTCTAACACGATTAGCATCAATCACCATGTCGATCTGGACGCTCATTATGAAGGTCTGCGTACCCGGCTCACTGGCTTGCGCCCACGACCTAACAATAGCCGCTAATCCTTGCCGGGTCATGTATAATCGCACCATTTCGCCAACCCCTACCCCAGACACAGTGAACCGTAACTGCAATCCCTAACACCTCTACTTTGTATTATTGACCTCTGTCCGCATGCCGGATAGACGACCAGTAAGTTCACTATCCGTAGTCACATTGAATCGTCATCCCTCCTTCCTTCAGCACATGGAGCCGCAACAGTTCCCCCTTCCCTCCCCACCACAGACCCTAGCCTAATGATGTCTCCATCCCCCCTTTCATACATTAGTTGCTTACCTGCTAGTGACTGCTCTATCACGCCAACCAACGTTGTCTGACCATTTCACTTTCTCCTCTGTTTATTTCGTCTGACGACGGGTTGGTGTCACTAGCTCAAAAATTCACAAGTACAACTCGATTTTTTCGGACAAGCTATCTTCATTATATTATCTGGGAATGCCCACTACCTCAACTATTCATAGATATCGCACCATTTGACTTTTACTACCCTCAGGTTGGATGAGATGGATTACACACTCAAGAGCTTTCTCTAGATCAGTACTAGCCAACAGTTATATTTGGTGTTCGATTTACCGCGTGTGTGCTACCCCAACGTTTGCGGCCACTACACTATTAGGTCTTTTACAAGTCTAAAAGTGTTTGTGCAGAATGTTATAATCTCACATAAATCAGAATGCTTACCAGAATTATTTTCGCCATGGCTCTCGGTATCGACGCCTTCATGTCTGCCAAGTTGGCTGACTTCCTAGCCGCGAATATGAATATCAGACCCTCTACTATGCGTATTACGACATGAGATAGCCCGTTATCGCCTGCGAGGGCCCTGTCGGTACAAAAGAAAATGTTATCAGAAAGATGAATTTGCAGAGAATGCGTATAGTAGGCGACCAGTACTTTAACGCCTATGAATTTAGCTCGGTTTATTGAGGATAATATGCGTGAGCCTGTGGATACCTTATTTCTTGCTTAAAATGGGGTCTAGTAGACAGCTTAACCCTGTGAGTTGGAATAACTGTAGGGGGCCATAAAAGTACGAAATTCTGTGTACGAGTCCCAAGGGGTGAATTCCATTTCCATTCCATTACTGCGTCCCATTTTGGCACATATCTGTCATTTTTCCTTTAAACAATTCCATCTTGGTCAAATCACAACGTCTGCAGGAAAGACATTTCATGGTTATAGGATCATGTGCATGTATTTCAATGGTTGTTAGCGGAACCCTAGAAAATCCTTCTCATGTATAGCTCAGATTGTAAATACAATTCTGTGCAGTCGGCTCAAAATGCAGTCATTTGTAAAGTTTATGGGAACATTTTATACCAAACGTGCACTTATGGTTTACATAGGAAATAAAATCAGAGAGCAAATTTCATGATAAGCATTATTTAACTACCAACAAGTCTATCCATGTTCTAACTCCCCTAGCATTCCAATGTTTGAAAACTATATCCCCACCTCCTTTAGGTCTCATACTCAGCCTTCTCTTGCTGACTCCCCATACGTCAATAACTCTAAATTAACTGGTACTTATTCTCCAAGTGTCATTAATTCGCAGCTTACATATCTGCCTCCAAATTTTTTTTAAATACCGTCGAAAATAGCATTGCCGTTCGAAACACATTAGATATTATATTATTGAATGCCAGGTCTGTTATAAACAAGATGGCCCAAATCAGAGCCATTGCTCTGGAAATGACGCCTGATATTATATGTGTAACAGAATCTTGGACACATTCTCTAATTCCTGACTCTGCCCTTCTCATAGATGACTTCGATTTTTACCGCCAAGACCGCACGACTAGGCGTGGGGGTGGTTGTCTTCTTTATCTTAAATCCTACCTAAAGCACTCTCCCTATTACTTGGATGTTTCCTCATTCNGACTTCTAATTCAGAAACTATGAATTGCATTTTGTAAAGATTCAGCCTACCTCGTCTAAAACTCGCATGCAAATTTATTTTAACTTGCTTT